GGGCTGGAGCACCTCTCCTATGAGGACAGGCTGAGGGAGTTGGGCTTGTTCAGCCTGGAGAAGAGAAGGCTGTGGGGAGACCTGATTACAGCCTTTCAGTACCTAAAGGGGGCCTATAGGAAAGATGGGGAAAATCTTTTCAGTAGGGCCAGCAGTGACAGGACAAGGGGTAATGGTTTTAAACTAAACCAGGGTAGGTTTAGACTAGATATAAGGAAGAAGTTCTTTACAATGAGGGTGGTGAAACACTGGAACGGGTTGCCCAGAGAGGTAGTGGAGGCCCCATCCCTGGAAACATTCAAGGCCAGGTTGGAGGGGGCTCTGAGCAGCCTGATCTAGCTAGCGGTGTCCCTGCTCCTGCAGGGGGGTTGGACTAGATGACCTGTAGGGGTCCCTTCCAACCCAAAACATTTTATGATTCTAACTAAAAGCAGCATACTTTATTTGCCTATTCAAACTGTAAAGTGTCTTTTTTTATATAAAAGTCCAGTACAAGGAAAAAAACAGACCCAGCCTTATATAAATGAGATAAGGTGTTTAAAATGTAAGTGTAGCAATTAAAAGTAAAATAATATCAGTTTATATGCACTTGGTAGTTGTTTTGGGGGTTTATAATTCTACCTGCATATTCTCAGTACATTACCATATCTCATTTTCACCTACTTATATGTTCTTTCTGCTGTGAAACTTCAGCGTTTTTGTTGCCTCTGCTTTTGGCCCACTGGTCATGCAGCAGGATGCATTAAATGAGACAGTAACAGAATGAAGGAAGAATGGTTCCAGTATGTTAGGGTGAATTTGGGAGAAAAAGTTTCTCTGGGGAAAAAATCTTGCAAACCTAATAGTAAACACACACTACTAGTGAACAGGTCCCAGGCTGCAGATCCATTGAGCACAAATCAGTTACAAGTATCCGTTACAGAGCTGTGGCTCTTTAATTCAGGCAGTAACATTTTATGATCCATTCTGTCGACAGGAATTCCAGCACCTTTAAGTTGCTCAGGTTCAGAGCTTGCTTGTATACCATAAACTGCAAATTATTGTGATGTTAATTGCATATGGGCCACACGATAAGCATGTGGAACACATAGAAAATATATAAAATACAGCATTAATATAGTACTGTGAGTATACTACATTCCTTAGCAGCCAATTTTATATTAACATTTGATTTTTCTGTCTCGATGCATGCTTATGGGAGCTTTGGAAAAAAGTTAGATTCTCAAAAGTTCCACTGAAGGATAGGTATTGGCTAAAATCAATATATTTTGCTCTATATCATCTATTCTCTCTGTTTATTGTTGCCTTTGGACACAGTTTTTTTCATTCGATAATTTTCTGTAACACTTTATTTTTTTTACCTTTGTTTTTTTTTTGGCTCTGCAGTTCTGTGCAACGCTTGGAACCACGCCTTGCTGCTCCTTTGACAAACTGTTAGAACTGGGTCCTATTTGTAAGTCTTTTTTTCTACTACTTTCTAAAATTGCAGATATCAGTTTAAGTCGCGCTGAGTCATTTCCAGGGCATTGTGCAGTGTCAGTGTCCAAATTCAGTAAGGCTACTTAGAGCTGAGACCTTCAGTACAGTTTTCTCTCTAATATTAGGTCAAGCAGCAAGCTTGCGTTCTCAAACTAAGAGTACAGAGGACTTTGCCTCGAGGTTTTTTGGGGGGGAACGTATTTTGGAAGACTGTCAGTTAAAAATGGCTGTAAGTGCTTCAGTTTGAAGCATTTTTCTTCAAGCCCTTTTAGCTGCAAGCGCATCTAGAGCAATGGCGAAGATCAGGGAAGAGCTCAACTCTGAATTCTCCTCTGCACCAAGTGTTTTGTTTCTGTCTGGCTCTAATGCCTGTAAAAAACAGGGAAATATGCACCAAAACCCCACGTGTTCTCCTTAATCCTTCCTCTCCCTTCCCCAATTTCCTTCCTCTCACAAGAAAACAGCACAAGTGGCAGGGTGTTTCATACAGGGACCGAGTCACGGGCTCTTCGTAAGTATTTCTGTGTTAGGGTCTGTTGTGTCGAGCTTTGATCTGCAGCAGGGCTTGGTCAACGCTTGCTGGCTGACGAAAATGTGACAGAAGCGCACCACATCTATTTGAATGTACATTTAGAACAGGGAATTTATAGGTCTAAGCAATTGGAAGCAGCCTCATAGAAACACAGCTAGATTTGATATTCTGTTAAATTTGTTCAGGTGGGGCCTAAACCATTGGGGGTTGGTTTGGTGGTGACTTGCTCTGTGAGGTTTCCTGCCCTTCAGCCCCAGCCCCAGAGACTCAGTTTCTCCCAGTCCACCTTTCTGAAAAGGTTTCTAGCAGTCTGCTTAGCAGCTAGAGATTATTTTGCTGTTCAGGTTATTCCTATAGACCTGACCTAATAAAATAGTGACACCCGTGCTTTTAGGCATAGCAACTAACCATCTGTGTTTCACCAGTTGCTCTCAACTACTCAAATCGTAAGTCGGATGCGAGCTTTTCTGCCTGCAGGTGAATTTTCTTCTTAATATACATGAACGGTAGTCCTATGAAATAAAGGTAGTGTCTCAAACCAAGTATATTTAAAAATAAATAATCAGTTGAACTTTGAACATGTTTTCAAATAGACCTAAGTTGTGGATGTAATGAATAATATTTTACTAGCTTTTTCCAGGCATTTATGCAAAAAAGAGAATGTAGTTCACAAGAATGGAAATTCCAGCATGAACTTGGTACCCAGTTGCAGCTCTGAATGGCTACAGCTCTGTATATGGAAATACCCATCGGAATTATTTGGTGACCAGTGTAAAGATGTTATGTGGGCTTCAGTTAGCAACTCACAGACCAGAATTGTTACCATGTGCATTAATAGGTGATCTATAGCAGAGTGTGAATACTAAATTATAGAACACAAGAGGCTTGTATGCTAAAATATTTCTGCAGAAACCATTCAGTGACTAATCCAAACTAGCACTTTCTTAACCTTTCAGTGCTCGCCTTTGCATAAGTGTCTCAGTCCTTGAAAGAAAGTTTGCTGCACATAGTTCAAAAGCTTGTGAATGCCCATATATCAATATGTAAAAAATACTCTTTAGAAATGTGTGTTCGTGATTCATGAGTTAGAAGTGGGGAGCACAGCTAAAACTCTAGCTCCTCTTGCTAAAGTTGATAGTTTTATTACCATAGAAATGATAACTACATCTCTAGATGCATCTTTTTACAGTGTATTTTATAATGGCGCTTAAATCAACGTCATTTAATATTTTATGTTCCTTAATAAGATAAACCTAGACGTGTAAGGACTCTGTTCCAGTAGAAGTGGGAGGGAAGAAGAATATGTTATGTATACATCTTTATGTATTAATGGAAGCCCAGGTGGTAGAAACATTTAATCTATTAATTTAATTTTAAATTGGGAAAATAATAACATCAAAGAAAAATCTCTCAGGCACTTGGTTTTATGCAAATTAATAGGGCTTTTTAATCTGCTGTTTAATTTATTTCCCCTTCAATTACTCTTTTTTTTTTTTTTAGGTAATAAGGAAAATATCTGGATGCATATTGATGCAGCCTACGCTGGGAGTGCATTCATCTGCCCTGAATTCAGGCATCTTTTAAACGGGGTGGAGGTGAATGAAGTGCTTCTTCTCTAGCAGCCTGATAAAACCTTGCTCTTCCATAGAATTTGTGTGTTTCTCATGCATCCAACATTAATAGCTCTTCAAGAATCTCTGAGTACACTGCACTTCAGTTTGCACTACCAATCCCTGTATATTCTATTACATTACTTATGTTGATGTGATTTTTACTGGTTTATTCTGGGAGCATGCAAGTTACCACAGCATCTAAAAGTTTCTCATTCAGAATAGCAAGTAGTAGTGAATCAAAAAAGCGTCTTACAAAATAGAAAAGAGGAACTTTTCCCCAAATATCCAAAAAGGCACATTTATAACACCCTAATTCTACATTACACACACACAAAAAAAGAAAGAAATAAAAGTTCAACAAATTAATGAGCTCATTATGTCTGATTTTTTGCTTACATCCTGAAAGTCATGTAGGATGCAGCCAGTAGCCGTATCTCAAACAGACAGGGTTTAATAACCAAGAGAGCTAAATGAAATATTCCTCCAACAGCACTCCTGTTCCTTTCCCCTCTCCTTGCTGAGAAGGCATTCAGTTGCTTAGATAAGAATACTTCAATTTCCTGCTGCTCCCCTCAGACAGTCAGATAAGGCCTTGTCTTCCACGTCAGTGGAGAAAATATTACTGTTTGGTAAAGCCAGAAGTTTAAACACAGCACTGATAGGTAGTGACTAATGAAGAAGAGGAGGGAAACCCCCCTGACAAATAAAGCATTTATTTCTGTCTCTTTTTTTATCAGCAAATGAAGCTTCTTGTAATTTCCTGTGGGGGAATATTTTTTAAATTATTGTTATTGGTTCCTGAAGGAAATGAAACCGCATACCTTGTCTGGGCCAGCATTTGTCATAAGAGTAAATATTGAATAACCATGACTAGGTTTCTTACCTTACATAGTACAGGGGGATAGCTAGATAGATGTATAGATAGGTAGACAGACAGACAGGCAGACAGATAATCTCCTCTGTAGAGAGCAATTATTAGTTGTGTACAAGTGACAGGGAAGGTTATGAGAAGCAAACAGGAACAGAAAAGTGCTACAGGGAGCAGTCGCAGTAGGAAAGCTTAGTGAATGGTTTGGGCAATTGGGATATGAACCCCCGTGGATGTTCCTGAGTACGCATTTTTTGTTGTTGTTGTTTACACTGAGATATATACTTTTCCATAACGTATGTATCTACAAAGTATAATTGTTAGCAAATGCTCAAAATGCTGATAACACCAATAGCCTAGCTGCACACCTAACCTGAATTCCAGCCCCCAAATATATGAAGATTTAAGTACAATAGTTATTAAGTAAGGTGGCATCAGCATGAACGGTATCTGTAAAGCCCCAATTCAGGAATTCATTCATAGCTAAGGTGTACTCAGACAATTTGACAAAGTTGTATCATTAGCACATGGATCCTTTTGTCTTTCGTAATTCTGTTTTTTATTTATCCATTCTCAGTTTGCAGATTCATTTAACTTTAATCCTCACAAATGGCTCCTAGTGAATTTTGACTGCTCTGCTATGTGGTAAGTATTACAGTAAAACATTACAAGAGACAAAACCCACATGTTAAATTAGTCTGCCTTTCTAGCAGTAGACATTTATTTACATTTCTCTTGAAATGAGGAGTTCTGGATAGCTTTAACTCTTGTAAATTATTTACAATATTCACTCTTTCATTTAATTCAAATTTCAAAAAAAGTAAAATTTAGAGATAGGCCTGAGCTCTGCATTATGTTCCAGAGAGAGAGAAATCCTGAAAAGTCTGCAGATTCATACTTGCTCCATTTTGGGACTGTTTAAAACAGAAATGAAAAAACTTCATTTAAAGATGATAATGCAATGAATAGCATGCTAAACAGAGCTTTTTCTTCTTTTCCATATTTTTTTTTCAATTGAGACACGATTCTTTCAAAAGCCTTTCTAAAAATGCTTGGGATTTGGCTGATGAAAAGTGATTGTTTTCAAAAAGAACTATTTCTGCAATTTTGTACTGATTTTCAGTTTCCCCAGATGACAGCAGAGATGACATTTTGATATAAAAAGATGCCGAAGTAGAAACCAGTAGACATACTTCGAAACAAATCAATGTATCATAGCAGTAATCACAACATTTGATAATACATGATCCTATTGTGTCCCAAACTGGAATCTCCAGAATCGATAGTGTCTACCAACGTCATGGCTAATGATACTTAATAGCAAAACAGCTATTCAGTAAATACAGACTATTTATAAAAATAAATGAAAACATTAATTTCAGTTATAATAGAATAAAATTTGCAAAAATGAGAAAAGAAGGAAAACCTGAATGTTAAAAAGACAACTAAAACATCATCCAGAAAAAGGTCACCTTATTTAAAAGAAGAATAAATGTGGGACAGTGATCACTCAGTTGCTTTTGGTTAAGCTTCAGCTCTTCTAAAATCATTAGCAAAGATGTCTTCTGCACAAATATATGTATTATTCAGATAATGCATCATGGTTTTGAATTTAAGAGTTTTCCCAATGTAGGCACTTCAAATATTCCTAGCCATAACAAATCATTCTTTTCCTTGGAGCAAGTGGCTTACATTTTGATCCTGATTCATCAGTAGTGGCAGTGATTAACCCCAGGCTCCAGTTTATAAGTACCTCATAACTAGCTGTCTCTCTCTGTATAGAGAAATAGGGAGAAGATGAAACTCCTTTGCTAGTTTCTCCCTTCGGTTTCTCATCACTCCAAGACATTGTTAACAAAGCAGCCACTCAGAAATGAGAAAATACACCATCGTTCTCTTTAATGTTTGTGGGACAATTAGGGGCCAGAGTTTAGTCCCTGACAGTTTAATTTCTCATTAATTCTGCTTTCCCCTATAACCCTGTGGAACACTAAGTTAAAAGTGTTTTACCTGGCTTTCCAGGAAAACAAGGTATATACAATCAAACCGTCTGGAAAGACTTAGGAAAATATTTTTCTCTACTTTGTTTCTTGCTTTTTTTTAGATAAGCCATTGCATAAAATGCCTGTTTTCATAGGTAGGAAGATTCCATTACTAGGAATCTCAAGGGACCTCGCAACGTGAAAGTTTTCACAGCTATGGCCATTCAGGCTGCATTTCAGCAAGGCATTTATGTATAGGTGTTATTCACTTAACAAAGAACGAAGTATACATTTAAAGTTAAACTCTTTGACTTGAAACCAAATCCATCACCCAATGACTTCTAAGGCCCATGTCCAAAATTCACCTCTCTTATCAACTGTAACACTGCCTGGAAAGGTGAAATGTAATAATAAAGGATGAAGGAACCTGGTGAGAAAAAGTAACTATGAAGGATACATAGTCCTCTTAAGGTCATTGGGAAGTTCTAACCATGATACTGCAATAATATGGGAAGAGTTCAATAAACAGTGAACACCATTTCAGAATCAAATTAAGCTGAGACCCATTGACAGACAGGCTGCTCAGCACTTTCTCCAGTAAACACTCCCATTTCTTTTCCCTGCAAGTTGATTAAGATAATCTAGCCATTAGATCTGTAATGTAATTATTTAACTAATCAGTGCAATATGTAGCACTGAAGTATTTGGGATTTGAAGGCAATTTCATTATAAACCTTTTGTAAAATATTCTCAGACTTTTTGATGTACAGAAAAGAGCAGTCAATTTCCTATAAAAAGGAATTTAATACAGCCACTCTGAGAGGGGTATGTTTTCCATATTCAGATGTCTTTGAGAGACTCTGCCTTGAAACTACCAGTCAGTTTTGCCTGACTTGTTTAATTGGTGCTCTGGAACATTATAAAATAGGAAGAAGTGTCGTCTTTCAGAGAGAGTGAAAATAATCATCTTGCAAAGTCTTAGTATTTTTGCTTTTCTATTATTCTTTTCAGGGTTTAAGTGTTAAACTTTGGTTGGGAAGGTTGGTTTAGTATTTGAAAGTAAAGTGCCTATAGGAAATGGTTATCTGTAGATGGAAGTGAAATTTTCCTGTTGGTTTATAATATGAAGTCATCTTTTTGGTTATTGTATCTATCAGTTAAAATGGACAGGATAGAGTGAGGCTGTTAAAAGCTGCAGATGTGCAATCCAAGTAAGTCACTTTTCACAATTTTTCATTGCTTTATTCACCAGGACCTTTACTGTGCCTTCTGTATGATGAGTACTTAACATGTGAACGTGTGCCACTCAAGCTAGGGCTTAGTAGGTCTATTAGCAGAACATCAAGCCTTAAAAAAAATCTAGCTTATCAATGCCAGTTTTGAAATATATATTCAGGATCCTTCAGTCAGCCAGGGGTGTTTGCAAAGAAAGTTAAGAACACCGCTTCTATCCCTTACCAGACCGCCCAAGCACTTACTGCAGTGGAGTTTAGATACATAGGGTGAAATCTAGACATGGTATATAAAGGTGCAACTCAACTGGTTCATATACATCGATGTCCAGGCTTTGGATTCATTTCAGTAATCCTTTCAGATAGCTTTTCATGGTTGCCAGATTAAGACCTGTGAAGTCAGGAACAGACACCATCTTTTAAAAAAGCAGTAACATCACCAAGGAAGTGCAAGATGACGGCGTTTTTATAGCCGCCAAGAGACCAGATGTTCTTGCAGAATACTTATGTGTTTAGCACAGCATATCACAGGAGCGGGAATGAATCTCTCATGGGACGACTAATGGTATTGCTTGTAACTTGGGTCAGTTGCGTACGGAGCTACTGAAGCACGAATATATCAAAGTAATCAAATATATCAAATAAGCTACAGTAGAACAACTTTGGGTTTGTTCACAATATCTACACTAATTAAACCTGCTTTCAGGTAATAGTTTCTTCCTCCTGCCCGTAGGATATTTTCAACACACAAATAGGTTATTTATTGTTTTTATTGAGAGTATTCTGAATGTCTTTCACTATTTTTCATGTGCATAAGCTTACTTATCTTCAGGTATGTACTTTCCATACCTGAAGGAAGTACTTTGTTAACCTTGGTACCCTCCTGACCATTAAAGTGAGAGGAGGGCTTTGTGTTTGTTTGGATAAGGCGTTTTATGAGCATAGCCTACATGTGGATGAGACTGGGGGAAGGTACTGGCCTGTGCATTTATACATGCACACTAAAATATTGGAAATCAGATTTTTCCTTAGAATTTTACATTAGAACATTAAAAAACATTAAAAGAAAAGGATGCACAGAAAATCATGAAAGATTTGGACTTTGTTTTATGTTGACATAATTATTGCTTGCTTTGTGAAACATTTGTAGGCCTAATATAATCATGTAGCAGTCTCTCCCTTTTTGATTTCTGTTTTTTTCTTTTTCTGCCTCTATAAACCCCATCATTTTGTAGAGGTGAGTCAATCTTACACATAGAGTGAAGAATAAACCAGCAAAACCTTGTTATTGCCCGCTGGCAAAGTGTAGCTGAGTCTTTCTAAAAGGGACCCGCTGGCTTTTGAAACCCCCTCCAGCTCCGCCACCCGCTAGCTGGCGACAGTAAGGTACGCTTCTGAGTTTTACATCGTGCTGCCGTGTATCTGCCAGGAGTTGGATCTCGGATCCAGCTACGGGCAGGGTGGTACGAGAGGGAAGCCTGCGCCTGGAGCGGGTGGCTCGTCCCTACCAGTGGCTGCTGCTGCC